ATATTACCAATTAAATACCCATATTTTCAAAACAATGGAAAGAATTTTGCTTGCTTTTGTTACACTTTGACTTTTAAAATAATCTATTTTTAATGACTTTAAAATTTTGCAATGAAGAAAATTTAAATTAAAGATTAATAAAATATGCCTTTAATTTAATAGAATTTAGTGATATACATATATATGTATGCTGCGAGTATAATTCAAAGACATTTTTAACATTGTGATAGTAGCAGAAAGATAATAAATTTAATATTGTTTGAATAAAGTGATATAGTAAAGCAAGAAAAACTTTTCACAAACTTTTTCTTGTTTTTACAGCTTTAAAACAATTTTAATTCCTTTCTAGCAAATATGTTTAAGATGTATGAAGTTTAAAAGAAATTAATTCTGATCTTTTCTGAATAAAGCTCTTTAAATGATTAATATTAATACGTTCTGATTTGATTGTTCCGACAATTTAGGCTTCTGGACAGACATGTGTAATAATTTTTCATCAAATTGCACATCTTCAATAATCTGACGGAATTGCGGGCGTAAAACTGCAATTAAAGCGCAAAGTATGAACATTAAGAACATTATACCAATAACAGTCCGTTTTCTTTCGCAAGCTCTGACGATCGCCAAGAATTACAAATCCGCCATGGTAAGCCGCTCGGTAATCTTCCGACGTCGTTTAACGCCATATTTCGCGTAATACATATATATACATCTGTACGTGTGCGTGCGCGCGCGAAATCGCACTGGGATGAGAGGGCGGCATTTTGCCGGCGCGACATGGTGCGCCAACACAGACGGATAATATCGCAGGCGGGAACGAATTTTCGTGGAAAGAGGAAAGCGCGTCGATTACGTCGGGCGGGTGTGAGTGCGTTGGAGGTTTCGGGGTTGTCAGCGAGCGGATGATTGCGCGCCTGCGGCGTCACGAGGGTTTCGCGATGCGCCGAGTACCACGTACATAATGTATAACGCGGTACCTCGAGTGGTCACCTACGTCTTATGGGCGCTTCACAACGTTTTTCGAGGCTTGACTCCGTGATTTCAACGTCCGTCGGACTCGAGAGAGAGTGGCTATTCTAGTTATAACTCTCGCTATAATCTTGGCGTTTATAAAGCAAACATCGAGCATGTCTTTTCGAGAATACACTTCGATAAATTATGCGTCGTCATCATATAAATGCTTTCGATGATACTATTAACGACTAAATTTATATGCCGTAATTTCTATAATTTCTGATTCTTTTAAAAAATGATTAATTGGACAAAATAAATCCAGCTCTATCTGCCGTCATTTACCGCCTAATCTGATGATCATTTAATACTCATTTAATATTATATTTACATCGAGTAATTTATAAGTATAATATTTAAGTGTCAGAAACTGTTCAGGATCTGACCACGGAAAGAATAGTTTTGCTGGATATAGATCTGAAAATAATTTTGTTGGACAATCAAAATAATTATCTTGTAAATTTAAATATGATGAGTAATGCTGCAAAAAATTTTAAGATTCCAATAACCAATTTGAATTCCCAACATAATTATTTTCTGTATCCATCTAAATTTTAAGATTTTTCAGCAAAATCGTTCATTCGGTGCATTTGTTATGAAATGTGTGGTAAAAATGAGTTTCAATCCTGTATTAGATGGATTTTCGAAAAATATGTATATTATTTGATATAATAAGCAAATAATAAGCTCTTATTTATAATTTATATTTAATTCAAAATTTTGCTAAATTTTAAATAAAATATAACAAAGGCATTTATGTTGCGTAAATCCTTCAAATTTGTATTATATGTGTGCAAAACTCTTGAGGATTTAATCAGTGATAACGCATCGCATAACATCAGACATGATCCGAAAGAATTAGTAGAACATTCTTATCTTGGTCAGCCATGATCAAACTTTTGTCGTCAATACTCTGAACGGAAGACATGATTTCGTTATCCTACATAAGCTTTGCCTTTCATACATATATTCAGGAATTCACGTGCAATTCAAAAAATATTTATGAAAAAATTTGAACAAAAAATATTTAACAAGAAAGGAGAACAGTGCAATTAACATCAGAATAATATAGATATTTACTTTATGTAACTTTTTATGGATTTATAGGTATGTAAAATTCATATTGGCAAATGATAATCATAATTATTAAAAATTTACTATAATATTTCGCATTTTGTAAATATGTCGATATGTTTAATATTTCACTATTATCATCTTTGAATTTTATACACATATATGCAAGAGAAAGAAACCCGTGAAAGTTATCTACGAAACAAAACATGCCCTGACGTCATTCTGCTGTCCTGGCTATACGTCAGCAATTAATCACGGCATCTAATTAACTCCGCCAACAAAGTACGAGTAATTTCGAGACAGAGGCAGAGAACAACGTGGGAGTGCGTTAGCATGTACAAGTGTGTTCGCGGATGAAGGTGGCGGCAAAAGGAAGCGGCAGGGAGAGGGAGACCTGGTGTTTCAACCCCCGTGTGGAGTCTCCTTAACGTTAGGAAGCTCTGCCACTAATTGAATCTCCTCTCTTACTCGCGTCTGGAGCCTCGACAACCGCTGGGAACCGGAGCACCCGTCCTGCATTAAACACCCCCGACACCCTGAGCACCCTCATCCCTGCCAAGCGGTCTCGTATCGCCCCCCTTTCTCCCTCCCTCCCTCCCCCCCTGCTTGCCCCCTACCTTTCCTCCCTTCCATCCTGCCACAAATCCCATCCCATCTACCTTTTCTCTTTCCATCTCGCCGCTACCTCTCTCCACCTCCGCACAGAATCCAGCCCCCGTTAAGCGTCCCAGAAAACGAGCCTCCGCTGTTATATCGCCGTCGATGGCGAGGAACATCGACCCGTGTACATTTAGCCCATCCGTGTACTTCCCGTGCGGAAGATCAAGCTTCACTCATTTCTAAATATCGCTACTGAACCGACAAATAACTCGGAGGATATACTTTAACATAATTCGCCTGCGTTTTCTATTTGGCTATAAATAATGTATATTCCTTCAAGTAGCCGCTAGAATTAAGTTGGTGTCTGCTAAAGTTGATTATTGTTGTTTGTTACTCTAAATGCTCTGTTACAGATTTTTTTAAATATTATTCTTAGGATAAAAAAATAATAGCGCACAGTTCTTGCCATTCTATGATTTCTTTCTTTTTTCTGGCTCATCTCTCTCTCTCTCTCTCTCTCTCTCTCTCTCTCTCTTATTTAGTTATAAATTATTGTGGAACAATTGAAAGAAGACAAAAAATATAAGCTAAAAGAAAAAGATTTACGACTTCCTTATTATTTCTTTTATCATTCTATATATATTTACATTATTCGCATTTATCATAATCAGAAGTTCTTTGGTTTCATCAAAATGCCATTCTTGTTAGTGCATCTTGTTGGAATGATAATAATAGTTTTCTCAGTATCTGTCCATACTTGCATTTAAAAGCTTAATCTAATCTTCTTTTAATGCTGAGAAACATTCATTGTTTTAAGAAATTACGCGAAATAAAATTTAAGCTATCTATAGTTTTACTTTTTTATCTGTTTCTGGATTCCTAATCCAGAAATACGAATGTAAATTTAATGTGCTGTACAGAATAAACAGAATGCATAAAAAGTAAATCTATCTGCATCAAAGAGAGTTTGCGATAAATAAAAATAGGCAGATAAAAAATTCGTATAGTTTTAAAACAATTTATTTTATACCTATTTTGTATTCCATTTTGAAAAGATCCCGTTTTGAATGCCCGAATGAATACATCTACAAGTTAATATTAAATGTCAAAAGTGCTTGTCCTTTTAGAAACGTCGATCAAATGAGACGTCACCGTAAAACCGAAACGTCGCATGACAGTGCATATCCATTTATGGCACCTTCACCTTGGTTAGCACAAGCCCATATTCGAGGATATTTCCCATAGTATCATGCAACGCAAACAAAATATAATAATATTCAATCCGAAATATTAGCACCTGAAATTTTCGTCAGCAGTTTTATCTTGTTCATCAGTATCGATTTTGTCACATCGCGCCGCGGCTTTTATACTGATAACGCGTGAACTGTTCGACCATGTTTAACGCTTTGATGGCGGAGGTTTGTTCAGGAGGGTCTGGTTGACCGATAGTTACAGTCGATTTCTTCGTGGTTTATTTGTGGCCTTTCGCGAAAACATGAGAAACTCTATAGAACAATTCTGGCAGTTATTCGTAGTTGACAAACTTGACAAATACATTTTTATGCCAGACGCGTTAAATAATAAATATGTCTTCAAAGAAAAAACTATCTTTTAAAAAAAAAATGTTTACGTATTCATATACGTAATAAATATCAGAAAAATATCAACTATAAAAATATAAAATATCAGAAATTTAAATAATACTCTATCAAAAACGGATGTATAAAATTCAGAAAAAACAACCACTAGAATGATTTTCAAAATATATCAAGATATAAATCTTGATAAACTTCTCAAACATATAAATTTTAAAGATATTAGTGATTGTATTAAATAACATCAAATTGAGTTCAATTTATTCCCCTTAAAGAAATTTAATATTGGAAACTAAATAATTACTTATTTTGAATATTAACTAATAAACAGCACTTAATAATTAAAATAAGTTAAGTGTTTAACTTCTCTAATATTAAATTTTAGTAAAGAACGATTGATTAAAAAAAATTAATTAAAGAATTAAAGAATTCGAAAAATATAATTCCTAAATAAAGAAACGTAGTAATATCGTGTGTGCGTAGTAAATGCATTTTGCGGCAATCGATATTTTAACAAAAAATTACTTTATTATTATAAAATTAGTAATATTCTCAAAAAATGCAGGTGATATAAATACAAAAATAAAAATTAGAATCGAGCAAAATAATCAATTATGCAAGTTTAATAGTTGGGTAAATACAAAAACTTTTGAAACGTACCTAAATAATTTGGTCAACTTGTCACATAATGGAAACATTAATATTACTCGTGGTACTTACCGTCCTTGTTCATGTTAGCTTCAAAGCACTTAGCGAGACGACAAGCACGACATTGATTCCTATGGGTCTTGTCGATCGGGCAACGTCCTTTCTTGGCACCCTGGGCTTTGCAAATATACTCCCGATTGCTGTGTATACTTCGCTTGAAAAATCCCGAACAACCTGATAACAACCGCAAAAAACATTTACATACTTATAACAAAATAGCATAATGGATGTTGATCAAATTTATTATCGTTAAGCTATTTCCAGATATCCAACAACACGCCAATAAAGAAAATTCAATTAATATTAAAAAAAGATCAAATTTATTTTTAATTAATTTGTTTATATTAATTTTTTTGAGCCTTGGTTAAAATTTTTAAGCAAAAATTAAATCAAAGATTATATATTATTATTCCACTTGGTTTCTAACATTCAAGTTTAATATATCCTTTTGATTAATTTATGAAATAATTCCTACTATCAGTTCCGTAAAAAAATATTGCGAGAAATTTGTCTTTCTCTTACAAATATGATTAATATTACCGTCGCAGCTGTAGATGCCGTAGTGTTTTCCAGAACTACGGTCACCGCATACATCACACAGTATGTCGAGTAATCTGTCTCCTAGAACAAAAGAGTATGTCGTATTTTATGTGATTAACTCTTTAAAGTCAATCTTTCAAAATGTCACGCTCGGAATATCTTATAACGATATAGTTATTTTCCTACATATTTTCTATTTCCTTGAAATATTACAGTAAATAATTAGAACTAATAAATATATACTTTTCCAAACATTGTACAATAATATACAAATCACGAAAATCAATAACGCGTATGTATTTAATCATATATTCATATATTCATATAATTTATAGATTAAATTTCAAGTTTAGCTAGAAACAAGATTTTCTGAAAAATTATGTCAAATAAATAAAAGAGATTTAAAACTAATATTAGTTAAAATAGCTACATCTATTAAATAATTACGACAACATAAGTAATCTTATTACAATAACTCGATCAATATTATCAGATTTATTACTATGATCTAATAATTATCAAGTGAAAATAGACCAGTGGTTAAAGGACTCTCGCGAAATCCCATTTAAGAAAAGCGGATGGGCCGCAAGAAGATCACCGGTGCTAATCTGTTTCCCCCTTTTCGTAGGAACCCTAATCGTCCTAATGATCCGCGGCAAGAAAAACACGGCCATGCCTAAGCCAACCAAAGCCTTCCTTCCCCGTCCTGGGGAATCAACCGCCTTCGCGTCTCACACCCAACCAACCTAACCCGATCAACCCGAGTTACTTCAACCCCAACGGATTACTGCTTCCGTCGTGTATACCAACGTCTTCTTCTTCTTCTTCTATATCTCTTATGTCGTGCTATATTGTCCGTTGTTTATATGTGTAAATTAATCTCAAAATATATAGATAAGAACTCGGCTAACTTTAATCTATAGATTCTAGCTGATTCTTTATTCTCTCAAATATTTCTTTCTTCTGCTGTATTCAACTCGTTTTAAAAATGATTTCTACATTCAAGAAGTGATTCTAGTTTAAATTTTCTACTTTCATTTTCAAGATATTCAAGAGATCCTGCAATGTAAATCTGCATATCATTTGGAGAATTTTTCAAATAAAGAGGAATTTTTAAATGTTTGTAAATGTGAATACGAATTAATAGCGAACTCATTGTCAGTTGGATATGTACCAGTGCATACTGGTGCATATTGAAACTGTACTAATCTAATCTGAACGTATAAATAAAATGTCTCAAATGTGATAAAATGTCCAATACATATATATTTTACCAAATAGTACATACAATAAAGTGTATTGATGATTTCGCGATTTCACCTATTTCTGTATTAAACACATATTTTTACGATGATTTGTGTACAATGACTTTAATGTGCACTAGTGCGTCCAACCTAATGCGCTATAAAATTGTGAAATAATGTTCCTAAATTTCCGAAAAATTAATTACTATTAGATTATTGGCAATAAGACGAAATTTGCTGTTGAATTTTCGTATTGTAACGGAAACTTGGAAGGATGTCAAATTACAAAGATATTTTATATTAAAAATATAAACTATGAACACATTAAACGGAACTAGATAATAAAACATTGCTTTCTCATCAATTCTCAAACATATGTATTACGAGTATTACTCGAAACACATGTCATGCGTCTTATTTTTTCATACATTTTTCAGATGGCAATTTTTGATTATCTAAAATCTAAAAGAATGCATAATAAATCAAACGTTAAAGATAATACCATTATTCAGAAATTTCCATTTAAATGCATTTCTCATTTATTCGTGTTATAGTTATTCTAAATTTTCATTAAACATTTTCATATCATTAATAATTATCTATCAACATAAATATTTAAAAAACTTAATTACTGAAAATTTGTATTCAAATTTAATATAAAACATTTTAAATTACTGTTTTTGATGCTCACGATTCTTCAATATTCGATAATCGCAATTCCATAAATATATAAAGATTCGAGCACTGTTAATTGTCTTTCGATTACGCATATTTAACTTCTCAAATTCCTCAGCACCACAATTTACCATATCCACTAAAAACTTTAGATTAAATATCTCAAGCGCAGTATAAAATGTATGTAGGGTACAGCGGGGTAATTTGAATAATTTCAGACTTTTTGAACAATTTCTCGAAAAGTAATAATTTTGTCCTTAAATTGAATATGTAGCAAGAAACTTACATGTTTAAAGAATAATTACCCAATATATGAAACATTATTCTTTAAATCCTGAGACGCAACGTCATTATCCGATTTACCCCTACAATTTTAACAAAAGTTAATTTAAGGGGTAATTTAAATAACATTGAAAATGAATCTTAAAATATTAATGTATGTGAATACAAACTAAATTTTATATTTAAATGTTTTTTTGAACATTTTATTATATTTTCCAAATCAAATAAAACACAAATTAAAAAGACATAAAATAAAATTAAACATAAATTAAAAAAACAAAATGATCATGTTAGTCCCAGTATTTTAAGTACAACGGGCATAAATGAACTTTTTAATATTGATATTATAATAAAAGCAAAACATTATATTTATCTATTGTGTTTTAAATATGAAATTGCACTTTTCAGACAAAATTAAACAGAAATTAGTAAGAGAATCTCTGACTTCGAGATATTTAACTCTTTCTAAAGTTTTGTAAAATGCTACTAAACACAGCAGGACGCCCAATAGAAGTTCTAGGAACATCATTTTCATTATATTTGTTTTTGTTCAGATTGTACTTTCCCGTACAAGCTCGTGTATGGAACGTGAAATAATTGCACAGCTTCTAATCTAAAACCAAAACCACATCATCAATGACAGCTGCAACGTTAACGGGTTATTTTCTCTTTTTGTTCCAATTTAATCGGACATTCTTTTTTTATAATGCTTAATGTCTGATATAATGCGAAATTTATCTTAAAACAACTGAAATATAATAAATATTCTAAGGAATTGAATGCGTTATCCAAATTGCCCCATAAAAATTTATTCAAATTTGCCCGTACACCGACTTAAAAACATTGTAATATAGTATATTAAAACAACTCAACAAAATGCGCCACTAGTCGACGTGATAATTGTTAATACAGGCAGGAAACATTTTTAGACTATATTGTTTTCATAGTTTTTATATAGGTTCCATAAAAGCTTCAGATAGCAGAGCATATTCTTAAAAACTACAGTTACAACAGAAATTCTCTATACTAACCTTGCTTAATATAAAATACTATATAGATTTATAAATTAACAGTAGATATTCTTTAACAATTATATGAATATATAGACCAAAGTATCTTCTTTGTTGCTAACCACAAATGTAAAACAAAGCGTCTCTTATTTTTCTGAAATTCTTGCAAATGTTTACTATTATCCAAATTTCCTCACTGTTCAAATTACCCCGCTGTACCCTACATCATATTTCAAGACACGATTTTTCTGTTAATAAAAGTCAAATTTTCGAACACTATACCGTCATACTGTCAAATATGTATATGCAACACCTGTACCTAATTAGAACTTTTTTTTTCATTAATATTAATCGCGTGAGCACAATTTCTCAATTTCCAAGATTCGCGATTTAGCTGTTTGCAGAAGCTAATCTTTCCAGCACTATCATATACATATAATCGCCTCCCGATCGCGGTAACACAATTCCTCGAATCTGGAGAACAGAATTTATCAACAAGTAGAAACAGTGTCCGGTTCCAGACATTGTCAGATGTTTCCCAATTGCAGTACACGGCTTTTCAAGACGCGATAAATTGCGATTTATCACTAAATCGCAGGGAATCGCTGCGCTAACAAGTCACTTTCACGTCACGCACCCCAGTATCTTTATCGTGGCAAATGTTTGTCGCACTAGTTAAGCCCTTTACTGTGTGTTAAGATCAAAAAAGTGAGAGAGAGAGAGAGAGAGAGAGAGAGAGAGAGAGAAAGAGATGCCGTGAGAGTCTTAGGAGACTGACCTGTGCCCATCTCATCCGCAGCTGTTCAAAAGTCGAACATCGCCAGAGAACGACGTATAGCCAAGGCCGTGATCCCGACGCGGCGCCGAGGAGGTCGCGCGAAGTCCCGAAGCATTCTCCGTGACGGGATGGCTTCGAGCCTCGACGTACCTACGACGTACTCATATCTCTCTCTCTCTCTCTCTCTCTCTCTCTCTCTCTCGCTCTTTCTCTTTCACCCTCTCTCTCTCTCTTATCGGAAAGGGCGTACTCGCGTACTCATGTCCATGTCTACATGTATTTGCGCGCGTGTATGAGTGTGTCTATTCGTCCATGTATGCGCATATAGGGGTTGTTGCCCGACTGGCTGCTGGAGCAGCTATCTCTCCTATCCGTAGCCACATCACGGAGAATCATGGGTCGTTCCCCGATACGGTCGACACGGTCCAGTAGTGGGTATCCACGAGGGGTGGTGGAACGGGATGCCGAGGGGGGTGGGAAAGGATAGGATGGGTGGATGGTTGCCGAGTGCGAACCAACACACCGACGCCAATCCCTAAACGACCGCGAGTCGCGGCGAGGAGGCCACGGCGATGGCGTATACCGGGGTTACGTCACGCGAATCCACGGCGTAACACCTCTTCTTCACCTCTACCGCCGCCTGCACCGCCGCCGCCGTTACCGCCACCCTAGTTGGCACGTTGGCCTACACGTTTCGGAGGGGAAGGTGAATGATAAGAGGGCGACGGAAGCGGAGGGGAGATAGGGTGGGGAATTCCAGCGAGCTAGCGACTAGACTCGGCCCGGGGACTTGCTGGCTGAGTGGCTGACTCGACTATAGCGGGGTAGCGCTAGTTAGCCATCGGCAACTACGGGGGCGGCTCCCGGAGGCCACGTTGTCAGACGGCCGTTACCACTGTGTCATTGGTCGACTCCACCCACAGCGATGCGAGGTTGTGGGGGTGAGCGCGCAAAGGGGTGGTAGGCGGCGCCAGACGAATCGACGACGCTGATTCGACACCGGTTCGCCAGTCGCGTCGCGCCGACCAATCGACAATACGGGATTAGGTTGGCTGACGACGACGTTAACATCTGCCTTCCGGCAGCCAACGCTATTTACCAGCTACACGCTAGTGGCGTCGTTATTGCTTTTTCACGGTGTGAGTAAAGGTATAAGTATAGGTGAATGCGACGATGGTAAGCTACCGGTGGAAAATGGTACAATGAAAAGTTGATGTTAGACAGATAGGATAGGAAGTACAATGTCGAATCTATCATGTCTACATTTCTGTAATTTCATAGAGAAATTCTAAGAATGCGAATATGATTAGACAATTTTCTTAAAAATTGAAGGTATCTCTCGATCTATTTACTGTTAGATTTCCTGATAATTGTTCATATTAAATTGATATCCGCATTTGTGGGTTATAATCTGCAAATGCGTATTATATGGAAGGATAGATGCGCTTATAGCGCAAGCTTTTTTTACTGCAATATTATATTGATTAGGCCATTTTGTCGGCGTCATATAATGACACGCCCCTCTCTAACAAGTAAGCTGTCGTTGTGAGCTGCTGCGCACAACCCGTCGATCGATCACGCCCTCTTGACTTTCTGGCTTAGTCGGTAATTATATCTTAGGGGTTTCGATCCTCGCTAAATGAAAGCCACGTCCAAGATTCTCGCAATCTTATCTATATCTGTTTTATTCTTTACGTAAAATGCTTCTTTGAACTTTCTTCTGTTCATTGTCACATGTATGCTTTTAGTAGTATGTGTTATCACATAATAACTAATTTATATCATAAACTTTATTGTTACAATATTTTACATCATATAAAGAAAAAAGATTTTTACTGTCATAAATTTCTGCCTCTTCGCAAATGAAAAATTTGAATTTATTATAACAGAACTATTGTTTGATAATTATTTGCCATTCTCGTCATTCTCATCAAATAATTCAAATAAGTCTTAAAATAATACTAATAACATTTACAGCTAGTATGGAGATAATAGTCATTATATATATTGAACTTCTATTTGACTCTTAAAAGAAAAGAACAGATTATTTTGATAGTACATAGTATTTTCATGGGCATATAAATCGTATAACTTACATACTGCGTTAAAAGATAAAGTAATACATATTACATTCTCCTGCGTGTATTCAACAAGCATTCAGTAGGTAATGTGTCCCTAAGATGATATATCGCTTAATCGACACTGCTGCAACTGGTCCTGTAACTGAGCATATCGCATTTGTAACGAACGTTCTCGTTCTGTCTGCCTATTTACATCTTCCATGAGGCCGTTTATCCTTCTCGGAACCGCCGCCTCTTCCTGTGTTTCCAAAAACTTAAATGTCGACAGTTCGAGATGTGCCTGCTCTATCTGCTCCCACAAATCATGCAATTGCTTCGTCAGCACCTGTGTTCTGGTCTATTTAAGAAACAAAACGATAATTATAATTAACAACTTAGAATTTTCTCAAATATATTTTAATTTAACCAAACAAATCATAAAATACATTATTAAGATTACGTAGCTAATATAAAATCTGACTGTATAACAAGTTTTTCTAATATATCCAAAAAATTGTGTTTTAATTTTAGTTAAGTATGATATATTAATTCCAGTTGTCCATTATCAAGTTTCATTTTCCTATTAATTACAAATTAATTATAATTTATACAGGAAATCTTAATTTTTCGCTACATAAAAAAGTTTTAAAGAATTCATAAAATTGTTGTAAAAATTTAAATTATTTCAAAATATTTACGTAATATAAAAGTGAAAAAATGCGTCCCAAGTTAATGCTATATAAACTGGCTACCAGTGATTCTTATCGCAACATATATTAAATTTTATGGGAAGGGGTTGTAAATTTTTCGTCCATATTCTTTGATCAAAATATATAATTTAAATATCTTTCTCTTTTTACAGAAAAGAGAATTAGCACGCAATATAAATCATGATATCGAATTTTACTTACTTGATAACCTCCAGTAAGTACCTTCAACTTCTTTTCCATCCTCGCAGCGCGTTTAGCTTCCCCCGTCATATGCATACGATTCTCTTCTAATTTTCTCTCGCATGCTTCCACTCTATCTTTTTTTGAGGCTAGCGTTGCGCGGGTGTACCGTTTCTGTGTTTCGAGATACAAGATCTGCGACAGACATTCCTCCCATACAGTAGTGTAGGCATCTAAACTCAAGTCTCCATGTGCCATTCCTTCCTTTACAACTGCCATCTCATCAGTTAACATTTGTTTAGCCTAAATTTAATTAATGCAGTGATTTAATAGCTGATACATTAATAGAAATGATAATGATATTTTATGAAGTTTTATATATACATTAAGAAGCTCGTCCTCTTCGAAAATATCATACGGATGTTGTTCCAAATAAGTCTGAGCCTGAGCTAATGATGTTGCAATGCTTTTTCGACTTGATTGTGTTGGATTTTGTAGCGCGTCATAATGTAACATCGTGATCATTTCTCTTTTTATCAATTCTTCTGCCTATTTAATTTAGGATAGTAGAATATTAATATTAAGCAAATTAATTCATAAAAATATGACAATAAAAATAAATGTCTTCATATATAAAAAAAAAATACATACTCTTTGTAAGTCAGTCAGCGGTGTGTCCATGTACGGTCTTAAAATATTCATATTTATATCCGCAGGTCGTGGTAATTCTCTTTGTATTACTTGTGATCTACGTGCCAATTCTCTTTTTTCTGCAAAAAGAGAAAGATATTTAAATTATATATTTTGATCAAAGAATATGGACGAAAAATTGACAACCCCTTCCCATAAAAATGGCAATTGTAATGAAATTGTTTGAAAGATCCATTCAAGGCTGTAATAAAACAATCGGTTTAATAAACCTACTTTCTTCTAATAACTCCTGCTGTTGTCTCGCATCGATATCCGCTTGATCCTCGATTATTTCAGTCGTAGGCGCACTCGTAGTTTCCTCGTTTGCCTCACCATCAAAGATATCTATCTCATAATCGTTACACGGCGCCGGTAAAGAACTCAACACCGCGCGCAATGAACTTCTTGCCTGCGTCTGTATTAGTGGAGTTTCTGATCCATCTACACTTTCATCCGGATTTATATTAAGCTTATCGCGAACGGGTGTTGCCGCTAAAACCCCATTTTGCGTTCGTACTGACGCCCCGCCTGGCGTATTGAACGAATTCACGGGCGTTCCGTCGCTACGTTGAGATCTAAACGGAGTGGCCAAAATTGTATTCGGCGTTGCAATGACATTGGTAGGAGGTACAACGCCGGTAAAATCAGGATTATTCAATGGAGTGTTCAATCCGCCTGAAAGAAGACATTTATAGAGTCAGATATAGAGCACAAGTTTGGTAACATGTGCGTAAAGTCGTAAAAATTATTATATTTGAACCTTTTAGCGGTGTATCCACGTGCGTAAGAGCCATAACATTTTGAGCTTCTTGCAATATTCTGTCTGTAGCAGCTGGTGTACGAGGTGTTGCCGTTGCATTTGTAGGTAAGGAATAATCGGCCAGTAAACTGTCGGAGAGTGTAATACCGCTCTCAGTAGCAACTTCTCGTGCAACCTATAGGCAACAATATATTAAGCAACAAGTATACACAAAAATATGATTTTTTATTAAATATAAAAAAATTAATTGAAATATATACCTCTGAAGCTCTACCAAGTTTTACGACTTGCTGTAATTCTTGATCAGAAATTTGTGGTTCTGGTAACACTAATTTGCTTCTTTTCTTTACAGGCTCTTCATTATTGAGCATACCCATAGGTATATCATTTTCTTTGCGTTGTTTTAATTTTTGCTTATCTTTCCTGCGTTCCATTTCTTCCTTTTCTTGTCGGAGTTCACCATCTAGATGTTGCTGCCGCATTCTGGAAAAATCGATCGCTAAAGGATCGACATGCTCGTTGGAGGTGTCATAGAAACCAGATGCCGGTCGTTTCTCAAACGGTATTTCTGTATTATAATTAACACCGCGTTTGCGTTTGTTCTTTTGGGACACAGTGATACCGGCAGCTCGTAATTCTCTACGTTTCTGTAAAGCAGCAAGTCTGCGTGCCTCTTCCAATTGTTTTTCACGCGCCTTACGTTTAGCCTTCTTGCCTTGAGTATTTGCCAGCCTAGCGCGTGCCTCAGACAACATTTCCAATTCTGTGAAGGTATATAATATTATTAAAAATTTACATTCGTTTTGTATATAATATATATTATATATACATTATTATATATAATAGATATAATAGATATATAGATATATAGATTATAATTATTTCTGTCATAAAATGTATTATCAACAACAGTTTAAATAACTTTCAACTTACCATCTTCATCCATATCTTTTGGATCTGGTCTTGCTGGCTTTGTCTCTGGATTAGGATCAATTTCACCAGGTTTAAGTTTACGAGGATCATCAACAGCATCGTCCCCTTCTTCTTTCTTTTGCGCTTGGTCACTGAAATAATTCAATAGCAATGCATGAGTATATTAGTCAGAGTCAATCATTTTATTCGAATAAAGCCTGATGTTACTCACAGTAAGTATTCGTATCTCTCCAAACACTGCGCAGCTGTTCTACCAATGATAGGTGCGATAGTTCGCCACTGAGTAGGCATTAACTTGGCAAGATGAAGCAACTTTTCATCCTCTTCTCGACTCCATTCGGTCTTCTTTATACTTGGATCTAACCATTCGAACCAGCGTGCCTTGCATTGCTTAGCTGATTTTCTATGTAATAAAGATGCAATACGACTCCACTGATTTTTCCCATATTTCATTACAGCCGCTTTCAAAATCTCATCCTAAAAATAAATAATTTTTTTTAATTTAACAAAGTTATTCACACACACACACGCACGCCGCACGCACACACACACACACACACACACACAAAACATTAGGTTAGAAAACATCGTATCATTTACCTCCGTATTGCGCCAGACGCCACCCTTTATCATAATTCGCGGCATTTTTTATTTTTATTCGAACCGTTCTGTGAAAGGAAAATATATTTCCAATGTCAAAAATCACAAGAGATATTTCGCACTCATATAACTCACTTCTTCTTCTTCTTCTTTTACTATGGCGACGGCTCCTACAAGGAGCTATACAGCCTGATACTAATGACTAAGTGTTAAAACTGAATTGAAGAAATAACGAAATATTGAAATATTAATCGGATCTAAATCGGATGATGCAATACTAATCTTGAGTCACAGACGTCCACCTCAGTCCGTGACTCACAACGGAATCCTCATATAACTCACAATGCTTACACTCGCCATAAACAAACCGAAACAAATTATAACACTGAGATATAACATACGTTTATTTTGACCGTTAGGCCAAAGCAGTAGACTGAGCAGATAGTTTTGAGAACGCAATAAGCAAATTAGTCAGCGCTCAGTGATTGGTTGCGTTAGCCTTTGAGTATATAGACCAGTGAGATATACACATACTTGGAGTGAGGGCTCCTGCACACTGGACGCGGAAATGCTTGCCGCGCGGCAAAATGCGACGCAGTAGCCAATAAACTTACAGCTCCTAAAGAAAGATAACACGT